GGGGGGGTTCCGGCGGCTCGGCGGGGGGGGGCTCGGAGGGCAGCACTTTTTTTTGCTGCTTGGAGCAGCAAAAAAGTTAGAGCCGGCCCTGAGTCAGACTAGATGATCTGATAGTCACTTCTGGCCTTAAACTCTCTGAGTGAACAGGGTTACTCATGTGTGTAAATGTTTGCAGGATTGGGTCCTAAAGAACATTCTTCCAAACATAGCTTACTCTAATTCACTTACATTTGATTAATATCGTGATTTTACATAATATGTTATAGTGGAAGTGTAATCAACTTAAAAATATAACAAAATGTGTTAACATACTAGAAATTTAAAGATTCACAAACTCATCCTTAGCCCAGGTAACATTAATAGCTATATATTTTTGTCCCAAAACCTAACATAAAATTCTGGTTGAGTGTTTTCAAATGTAAATCCTAGAGACTAGATACATTCCCTATAACAGGAACACATATGTGGATGAAAAGTTAAGAATCAGACTTAAATAAAGTTGCCCTTTCTAATAAACCATGTGTTTTTTCAAAGGTTACATCTTCATTTTTTACAATGGTTTATATCTGGTTTGCACCTCATGTCAAAAGATTTTCAGATTTAGATGCTTTTGTATATCTGGACAATACCAGGCTTTTTCCTCGTCAACAAAACTTATATAGCAGATAGTCCCGACTGAGAGCTGTAAAGAAATAAGTATTTACATATAGTACCTTCTAAGTTGGACAACATAAATCTCTGTGTGTGAAACAATCAGAATTATCTGCTAGAAACCAATCTACTTCATGTAAAATAATAAAATTTTTCTTTTTATATCACCTACCTTGTTTCTCTCATATTTTTCTTAACACTTAAAACATGAATGTTATATGAAAGATAAAAATGAAAGTATTGTACACATTAATCAGTGGAGAACAGTAAGCCAGTATATGTTTGTTTACCTAATGCATATGAAGATGTACCTGTTGACCACCTTACAACTTTCTCTTAATAGACTGATTTGAATCCTTTTTCTTTCAATTTTAAGTTTGTGGGTTTAAAATTTCATTAGCACTTACAGGAAAATAATTGAACTCTAAAACAAATTATTCTTCTTATCATCATATATTATATGCCTGTTTTAAATGATCCAGTATTTAGTAAGATGGTGCAAATATAGACAGTTAAACTGATAGGCCCACTCTTAAGCCCACACTTTCAAATGTGGCCGTTGATTTTAATTTCTCAGATTGAGACACCTTGGGCCTATTATTCAGAAGTGTTGAGCTGCCGTAACCCCACCTGAAAACAGTAAGTGGTTCAAGCGCTCAGCATCTTTCAAAATCAGACCCTAAATGTCTCAAACTGGGCATCCAAAAATTGAAGGGCCCAAAATCAGTGACCACTTTTGAAAATTTGGGCCTCTGCCTGTAACTTCTGTGATCTATCTTATGATGAGCTGAGGTACGAAGAGAAGCATGAAAGCAACAGTTCTAAAATATAGGATAGAAATTAATTGAAATGCATAGATATCTAATGATTTGTATGTCATCAATCACGGTATGTGTTTAGGCTAGACCCCAGAGTTTAAATAGTGATAGAGAAACTGGTTTGGCTAAAATTAATACCTTAAAACCTCTTCTTAATTTAATTTATTTTTATTTGAAAATGTTTGTTTAACTTTTCTTCCCTGTTGAAAGGAGACCTAAAAGTCTTAAGAGACGTTATTGTTTAACAGCTAAACAGTACAATAAGATACATGTTTTAAAAATCTTCTTGGAAGTGGATTTTTCTGTTCCACTATGTTTTGGGGAAATAGAATGACACTCTCACATGTCAGCTTGGATTTAAGACAATGAAGTGTTTTCTTAACTTAGAAAAGATAACTCAACCATTACGAGCCCCTAAGTCCCATCCCCATTGTTCTGTCACAATTCAGTAGAGTCTCCTGTCTAAAAATGATATCTCAAAACCAGGGCTTTCAACCCCTGCAGCTAAAAAATCACTCACTTATTTCCTTACCAACGAAAATAATTGGATTCACCCACAGGAGAACGTCAGATCTCTACTCAATTTTAAAGATGTTCCCCCAGATATAAACCAATTTAAAAGTTAAGCCTGCTGTCTCTCACTTTGCACCTATGTTTGGGATACTCGAGCAAAGCTTTTCAATAATTAACAATAAGGAGTCCAGCCAGTTAAGTTTTGACAGACACATAACTTCCATAATGAAGCCATAGCTTAGTTATTCCCAAGTTAAGTGCACATGGAGCTGCCCCCAAATAAGCAAGCAGATGACCCCGCTAACTCTACCAGGAAAGATAGAAACATTATCACTCCTCTTGTGTTCCTCAGAGTCAAAAGCAGAGGAAACTCTGCACTGATGGACTCTGCCGACTTTTAACTGCTGAAAACATCTCGTAATGAATTAATGAAGCTTTCCCTGGGAACTAGGGTGAATTTGGCCATACTGATGGGGAACGTCAGGGCCACAACCAATGGGCCAGTGCATTGCATGAATCCACACTACTACAAACCCACTTAGAAGAGTAGTAAAAGGCAACTTCCCCAACGTGTCCCAGCTGCACAGGTGCTCAAAGTGCTACTTTGTTTGGAGCTAAAATTTCACCATCCCCTTGATTTCCTGAGAGACCCTCAGGGCAAGGCTCCTTTATTTGGGTTTTCTGAGATACTTAGCTGTTAAATAATATTTGTCATATGTATCATCCTTGGAGTGACTTGAAAATACTAGCTCCCTTTGTTTATGTATTCTAGGACAAAAACTATCCGAAGACAACCAATGATAAATGGAGGAATCAATGTAGAAATTGGTAATCCATCATACAATATGTATGAGGTTGGCCATGATCACAATGAAGGGGGACTTTTAGATCCAGATTTCACAGTAAATCCAGAAAAGGTAACATTGTTTTTGCAATGGTAAAATAGGGTTTATTTTATGTGATGTAATGAATAGCTTTACATTTAATTAGTGTGATTTTTCTCTCAAATTAAGACTTATTTATAATGGCATGTATTTTGGTTTGTCTATTCATTCTGTATGGTGAACATGAGTCAAGTAAAGTTTATTTAGTGAAAACATTATAGATATTATGCATTTACTGTTTTGCACGCCAGTATTTGTTGATGGATATTCTTTTGCGGTGGTCTGCTTTTTTCTAGATGTTAAACTAAAACTGAACTGTAAATTGAGAGAGGCTATATCATAGACCCTCTTGACAAAACTGAAGTACAAGATCATTATTAAAATCTTCTTTATCTAAATTCCAGATATTTTGTGGACCTACTGAATGGTACACTACGTTATGTATTTATTAGCTCTTATGCTTTGCAAATGTCAAGATGTTGCATTTGTAAATCTGAGCCTAATTTGTTGAAAATTATGGTTTCTTCCAAAAACATAAGCCATTCAGAGGCCTGACAGAATAGATGTACTACATCAAAAAAGGACATTGTCATTTTACTCTTTGTTATGTCATTTCTAGGAGCACTGCTCTTCAATGGTAGAACTTCTGAGTGATGTGACACTGAATGGACAGGGTAATGGTGCAATAACTTTCTTAGAGCTATCAGTAATCAGATGCATCCTATGGGACAGCTATCATTCTGTGGCATATTTGACAAAGCAATAACTGGCTTACTGTTAGCTCTATGAATGTCACCACATTGTCACCCAGTCAATGTGCAGCATACCACAGGGAAGCTGAATATAAAGAATATCCACTGGCTCTTAGGCAAGTCGAATAACTGTATCATGACTGATTGTTAAGCCTGAATGTAATATTTGACAGAAAATGCTGTGCTGATCTCATGCTGAATAATAAGAATCATCCAAACTAAAGCAAGCTTGTAGTTAAAGATTTAAAGGCAGTTTTTATTGTAGAAGACCAGTTGTTGTTTTTAATCAGAGCACTGCTTATTAAACAATATGTCAACCTGCAAATGGAAAATTCATTATTATTAGCACAGAAACTAAAATACTCTGTTTATACACAGGCCAGGTATATAGGGGGAGGGTCCACTGCATTCAAGCTTCCCCACACAGCACCGCCAATCTACCTAAACTCTGATTTGAAAGGACCACTAACTGCAGGGGTGAGAAATGATCATTCACTTCCCATGCTCATTCCATCATGTCCCCTCTCTGAGCAGAGTTTGCACATTATGTTAGAATAGCACCATTTTTGTTCATTTTTTTCATTAGCAAGAAATTATTTACAAGTAGAAATAAAATTTCTATTTGTTATTACAGGTGCCTCTCTGTATCTATTTCATCTTTACTTGTCATGGTAGCATGATCTAAAATGTAAAATGGAAAATATATTGCTTTATTTTATAAACATAAGTAAGTTATACCTTTTGTAAAGCTATATAAAAATGAAACCAAACACATAAACATACCAAATAGTGATAGGCATTTAATGCAACTTATCACAGTGAAATAAGATTCAAAAGTAAATGAAATTCTGTCCTACTATTTTAAGGGGAATTTGATATGCATTAAGTTGAACAATTTCTGTAAAGCTTTACAAGTTATTAATGGATTGTTTAAATTTCAATCAATTTTATTGCAAATGACAACTAAGTTAACAAAATATTTAGCTTGGTTTCAATAAACCAGGGTTTGTATATAATATAGCACATATATATAAGATTATTGAAAATTTTAAAACAATTAAAAGAGAGGGACATTCATATGCTTGATTCACCTTCATATAAAAAAATGTATGTGTTCATCCTTGTCTCATTTGCATTATTGTATGATTGTAATGTGTTTTTGATGTAACTAAAATTCAATTTATTTGGTCTGCTTTAAATAACACAATATTGTCCAGAGAAGGCAACCTGCCTCGTGGATAGGAGAACTAGAGTACAATTCCAGCCCTGAGATTGACTGAAATTACTTTAGTCAAATCACTCAAACCACTTTACTTTTCTGTACGTCACTTTTCCCCACTGCATAATAATAATATTTACCTCATACAGGTATTAAGGTATTGTTTATAGTGTACTTTGATATTTCCAGAAGAGACAATATAAATGCTAAGTATGATTCTTATTTTATTTGTGGTATTGGCAATCAAATGAAAACTCCTATCAATTTAAACAAAAACTACATTTCTGTGTCATCTGGAACTCCTGTAGTCATTACCGGGGTAGTGAAGATCTCTGGTCACTGGGGTTGCACAGGTATAATTGAAGGTAGAATTTGCCCCTAGAAATTACTACAGCAGCTGGTAATATATTTATGTTCCATTAATATAGAGGTGGGGGGGGGTTTTGTGGTTTTTTTTTTTTTTTTTTTTTTTAAATTTGATTTACTTTTTTTTGTGTTTTGGGGAAGTGTAGAACACTAGACAGTCAGATAATTATTTGTAATAGCAGGATAAGCAGCTCCTGGCTAATCTAAGTTACTATGATTGCTGCAGTGAGCCAGGCCATGGGAAAGTTTCAAATCCTGGCTTCTTATTTGACTAGGGGGAACAGAGAAATGAGGATTCTAAACCTTTGTTCTTTCTTGTTGGGCAAAAGGGCAGTGAAGCAAGCTAAGTAATATGAGTCTAGGTGCTACAGACAACAGGAAGCATTGTGATCTGTGAGGAATTAGGCAGCCTTCCCAGTGACTCTATATATAAAGTTGAGAAATCAGATGGGATAGCAAAGGCCTCTGTTGAGATAATTGAGCCGTAATGGGTCATAAAAGAGGAAGTTCACACCCACATCCTACACACTTTCATATTTGTAGTGATAGTTCAGTATTTTTATCGTGTATTCTTTGTATTTCGGTAGCACCTAGAAGCCCTAGTCATGAACCAGGACCTCACTGTGCTAGGTGCTGTACAAACATAGAACAAAAAGCTGGTCCTTGCCTCCAGGAGCCTACCATCTAAGTAAAAGACAAAAGATATCGGATACAGATGGCTGGGGGAGTACAAGGAAAAAATGAGACAATATTGGTGATAGGGAGTGGTCACAGCACACAAGCAGCCTGACCACTGTCAAGTTTTTAATAGGCACCATGGCAAAGGAGGGTTTTGAGGAGAGATTTGTAGCTAGATAATGAGTAGACTTGGCAGAATTAGATTTTGTAAAAAAAAAAAAAAAAAACAATAATTTCAACAGATATCAATTTTTTAAGCTTTTTTAGTTTTATCCATTTAGTTGCCAAAAGTATGGGTTTTAAGCATTTTTCCTATTTTTATCAATTTACATTTTCACAGTTGTGAGAAATTATAAGGGGGCTATTGGACAACTATTATTTAATGACAATAAAATCTGTGATTCAAAAAGTTAAAGCTTTATAACCATTACAACATAAATTTTCAACATCACATATCAAAATATTCAAAGTGAATATCTTTAAATCAAACTCCAGTAAGTTTTCAAGCAGCACTTTTCTTAGTTTGCCCATCTGTAATTTTCAGTGATCTATGGAAATATTTTTTATCTGTTTGTGCATGTAAGGTGACAATGTTTACCAACATTTACCAATAAAAATCTAACCCTTCCAAGCCTAACAACGAGGTAGCTTTGCAGATATTTATAGGCACTGCCTCCCATGCAGTAGTGATAGCCTGTGAGAGAGCACAAACATAGCCTGTATACTTAAGTGCTTTGCAGAATAGGGATGGACTTAAGCACATGTTTAAGTCCCATTGCCCTGGACTTTGGTTCAATCCATAAACTAGCAAAATTATTGCTATTGAGAAAATACTTTTATATTTACAGATGCTACAGTAACAGTTATGATCTCTTATTTAAGTTACGATCTGATTAGCAAATTTGGTCAAATTGTACTGTATATTTGGTTTTCCAAAATGTGGTCAGGCGGTATACGGAGTCTGTTGGTTACAGATTGTCTGGCTATACCGAAAGAAGGACAGGAGACATTTGACATGGGTTTAATCAAGCCGCAATTTTATTATAAGGTATCTGGGACTACCCGGCAGATAAAAGTGTACACTGCAGGTAACCCCATGTTTATTCCGTAATTACCGTGGGGCTTTCACCAGCCCCCCCTCTTTTCCATTCAGGTCTCTCCAGCAAATCCATTGCTGGGATCTTACCAGCCGCTCCCCTCATAGGTGGGTTAAAGGGGACTATAAGAATGGGGGGTTGGCTCCCTGCCGTACAATCATAGGAGTCCCCAACCACCTCCCATTCGTTCCTTTAAAGAACACCTCTTTTTAAGTCCTATTCCAAGCCATTTATCCGGTCACTATATGGAGTACCTGCCCTGGACATCCGCCACACGGAGGCACCAGCAAGTAGAGCTGCCTAGCTAGCCATAACCTCCTCCCCTTGTGGAGCTACTCTTTCCTGCCTGCTTTTCCCTACCCAGACCAGAGGAAGGGGGGAATTACTCCTTTTCCCCATTTCTTACTCTTCTGTTTCCACGTGGAGCAATGCTGTGCTGAAGTACTGTGTTCCCTCCTGCTTCATCCTGCGTCACGTAAAAGGCAGGCTTCAGGCACAGAGCTGCCCTATTTAAACCCTGCATTCCCAGGGGATGAGTCAGTGACCACACTGACCCTTTTGCAGCAGTTTTCATCTCTCTCCTCTCCCTCCCCCCTCCCCCCGCCATAAAGCACAGTTCCCTTCATTCGGCCTGCCAGCCAAATACTCACCCCCATTTCCCTTACTGCCCTCCCCCCGCTTAAAGGTGCAGCGCGGTCATTCCTACAGATCTTAACTCCCTGATTTACAGAAGCCCAGGTAAACATTAAACATGTTCCGTTATGCTTTTATGTATGCGTGTTCTCCCTTTGTTTTAATAATACAATTTTCATTTTCAAAAAATAGTTGTTAATCTAAACCACATATTTATCTTTTTCCACAGCCAACAAATTACTCTAATCCAGTGTACGCAAAGTTATATATGGATGGGCAAAACTGTCGAAACTCATTAGCAAGTGTTGATGAAAGAAAAGAACTCCTTCCAAAGAAAATAGATATTGGGATAAGGGAGACTATGGCATAATCCTCTGTTACCTTTTATACTCTGTATAAATGTATAAAATATAAGGATTACTTTTCTATGTACCCAACAGTATTATAATTGTTTTGTTATCAGCATTACCTCTGTTTTTTTGTTTGGTTGATTGTTTTCTGGGTTTTTCTTTTGCTGATGACTTTTGACTGACCATTTGTAAGGTATTTTTATGAAAAAGAAACTGCACTACAGTACAATTTACAACAATGCTGCTGATACACCTTTGAATTTGTTAAAATTAAAAACAACATTTGTTTGTATTGTGAATATGAGCAATCTATTTTGTATGAACTTTTTTGGTTCTACTTAATCAATGAAGATGATATCTGCACCTTTTGATTATATAGTCTGAAAGCTGTAGTACAGTGTGTAATTTTGTTTGTTTTAAATGGTGAAAGAATGACTGAATGGTCTACTCTCTTTGTGCCCATTAGAATTTCACCCCAGATCCTGTTAAAAGTAGATAACTTTTTTTCACAAATCAAACATAACTTGCTTTTAAAATTAGTGTTAGGTTGCCAAGAAGTAAACAAGACTACAGAATCAAACCATCTAATGATCTGCATGAACACAAATGAGTGTTTCAGAAATTCAGTGATTGTACATGATATACTAAACATATATACCATGTAAACAACCTTGTATTTAGTAAAACCTTATAGACCATAGTAGAACTACATCTTGAAAGTTGAAAGATCTTTCTTGCTGTGGGACAAGGCCTATGAACTCCAGCAGTCCTGTAGTACAGTAGCCACCCTAGAGCACAAGAGGGCATCGCCTACACATGTATTATATGTTTATTCACTCAATCACATGCAATATTTGTGGATGATCAATCCGTTATCACACACCAAGCAGTAGAACAAAAATAAAATGTAAGCACACACATTGATAACAGTATTCTGATTTACCCAGTAAGAAAAAAAATCATCCTTGCTCAGAGATATTAAAGAATTCAAAACATAGCAGTTTATACTGATGATGATGATAGTCTATGATACCGCTGATCAATATTATATATTACTGAAACGTATTTCAGACCAATTGTGAATTAATTTTAATACTTTTGGGTTAAATGTCAAAACCCCATTATCAAAAGTGGAGAGTATCAATGTAATTGGTTTCCAGTACTTTCTCTGGTACTGGTTTATTTTATGTAGTTGTGAAGAATAAAAACAAAAAAAAATTCCACTTGCCTTTTTGAATTTTGACAGAAATAAGGAGTACAATTTCTTTAAGTTGTAAAAAGAACTGAAATATTTTATACATAACTTTAAAGGCACAAAATACTTATTTACACACATACTGCAGAGGGCTTTTTGTTCCTCTGCTAAACATGATTGACTTTTACCTGTCATAATATATTAACCTAACAGATTAAATATGTTTGTGGTTGCTCTTTATTCCCTTTGTACAAGTATTACAAAAAATAACTGCTGTTTTATAAAAGATTTTTGTTGTACTATGTGCATGCATACTACCTATTTCTAAACTTTGCCATATTGAGGCCTTTATAAACTCTTGATTTATGTAATACTAGTGCAGGTTTGCTTGAAAAAATGTTATGCATATCATAAACTTTTTCAGGTTCTTGTTTAAGTACATTTTTTAAATTGAACAGTATTTTTCATTTTGGTTATAATAGTCATTTTGCCTATGTTTCTACAATGAAGTGTGAAATACTTTATAAAAAAATTGTTGACTGACTTATTTAAATGAAGTTCTACATATTTAATTCATTGTGTTGGGTAATTTTTAAAGTTAGGACATACAATTATACAGGCAAATTAAAAACCAAAAGGAAAGGAAATTAAAGGGAAGTAAGAAAATATATTATACAGGAAGTAAAATGGTTAAATTCAGTTAAAAAAGCCAGACAGTTTCTGCTCATTATAAAACCTCTATCTTAAAGGTTCTGCAATGGTGCATAAGTGTTAATAACTCAGAAGGTGTGCGTCCATATATTTGATTTCATTGAACATTTTAAACCCTGCTTTTTCTTTTATAGAATCATTGAAGAAATATGTATATTTAGGTAACATTTAAGATGTGTAACTATCATCCGGTGAATGTCAGTAAGCAAAAAATTTCTGATGAATATCAGTCTAAAGTGCTTAGTCCTACTCCTATTGAAGTCATTGGGACCAGGATTTGACCCTAAACTTTTGCATCAGTGCTTCTGCTGTGGAACATGAGCTGCTGTTTCCATAGATGTGATTGCTAGTCTTAACGAAAGGCAGACACAACCAAATGTCTATTGGTGGGTGTCCATGTAACATAAATTTGAAAGTGAAAACATCTCTCTAATAGTGATCTAATTCAACTTAGTTGATGTAGTACCCAATGTTTCTGCACATAATGAGACAGATTCTGATCTTGTTTACACTACTATAAAATAGTAACTTTATTCATTTCATGAGGAATGCCTACTCAGTTGAGTTTAGTTGATATTCCAGATTTATACTGTTGTAACGCAAATCAGAATTTGGCCCTATGCCTGGAAGAAAGACCTTAAACCAGATCCTCAGCTATACCAGTTCAGCTAAAAGCAGAGTGGCAAAGATGTATGTAGACTACCTTTACATCCTCTTGAGTTTGGGACCAGCTGCATCTGAATGCAATTTAGAACAATCTCAGGAATTTTCCAAGTTGTATCTGGCTGTAACAAATCGCAATGGGACTTGTCAGCCACCAGGGATCACCAGAGTGCAGTGGCACCTCAGATTTGCCCCCTGCTAAACCTTTGGGGTCACCTTGGGATTCCCTTTACAGCAGTGAAAATTTTCCTAAATTTTCCAGCTGCCAAAGCAGCTCAGGAGTATAGGCATGGCAGGCAAAGGGATGAGAATCTTGCTCATAGTGTATATATTAATCCACACTAAAATCATTTGGTCTATATATTTACTGGGGCAGGAAATTATTTTTAGTATTGGATGTTATCAAAACATATTCTTAAAATCTCCACATTCATTTTGCTATGCCCTGACTGTTGTTAAATGCTTCTATGAGACATAACTACTGATTCTATGCATCATGTATATGATTTTAGGAGCTTTTACTATGTGATTCATGGTAGAAAATGAGAAATTGTATTGTACCAGCAACTAGCAAATTTTAAGGCAAATATTTACTATCCATTTGCAATGAAGTGTAAGGAACTACAAAATATACACAAGTTGTGGGAGATGGAATCAAGTTATACATATTCAAGAAAAATATAGAAATATTTTGTATTATACATATAGTATGCAATTTTTCAGTGTCTTACTTTCCGCTCAGTTTTTTTTTTTTTTAGAGTGCATCATATTCTTATATTTCTGATGTATTTCAAGTGTTGTTAAAACAAAAAAAACCTACTCTTGTCTAGTAATTAAATCTAGTTTTTAAAATAGTTTCATTCTATCTAAAATACCAGGCTATAGTTGAACGTTTTCCCTTTTCTTTACTGAAGATATTAATGACAATACATGAAAGAGCAGGCACTAACAGTTCTCAGGGAACTGGCGGTCTGAACCTGGGATGGAAAGGGCTTCCCAAAATGCTCAGGGTCCAAGTAACCAATCTATTTGGGGTCAGGCGGGAATTTCCCCCCAGGTCAGATTGGCAGAGACCTTGTGGGTTTTTTGCCATCCTCTGCAGCATGGGTCACTTGCAGGTGACTAGCATAAATGGATTCTCTGTAACTTGAAGTCTTTAAATGGTGATTTAAGGTCTTCAGTAACTCAGCCGGAGATTATGGGTCTATTACAGCACGGGTGGGCAAAGGTCTGTGGCCTACAATGTGCAGGAGTTCAGACTTTATGGTCCTGTCTGTCATTAAAGTCCATGAGTCTAAGCTCCATAACAGTTAGCTAAATCTAATCCTGAAAAATGGTGCACATATATTCGATGTTACTATTATGTGACTATTGGGCAGCCTGTGTGAAATGAGTTGGTGGAGCTCAGTTGATCCCACCACAAGCATCACTATTTGTGAATAAAGCATCCCTATTCAGCAAATCACTTACGTACATACTTTGCTGAATCGGGGCCTTAAACTATCTAACCATTCATGTCTTTGGCCTGTCACCTGAGACTACCAACAAAGGTCACAGTGTGTAAAGTTAAGCACATGCACACATCTTTGCAGGATCAGGGCCTAATTGACTTTCTCATCTACAGAGGTGATGGTCCCCTCTCTGTAGGCTTCCAGCATATCCTTCACACCCAAACAGGCTTAACCTAGCTAAATCTAACTACATTGATAATTATAACTTGAACACTAAGAACTAACTAGAGAGGAAACAATCACCCAGGACACTGCAAGGATTCCCTCTCACAGTCATGGGGGTTAAGAAGCAGTGGTGTAGTGGAATCAGAACGTCCCCACCTTCAGCAGCATGGGAGTGGAGTTAGAAAACAGTGTGGGGGGCAGGGTTAAAGGGCCAGACTGGTGTGGCGATGCTATAGTTTAGGACTACCCCGCTGGTAAGAGGGAACTGGAGGGCAATTACATCCACTCTACCCGTTATACACTCAGCTATACCAAGACCTTTTCAAAAGAATTCCAATCTCAGGTGCCTGGGGTGCATGCACATTAGAAGTGGAATTCATGTGGATAAACACTTGAAGAAGAACTACATGTTTCATGTTACAGCGCAGCACCAAACTTTCATTCTGTAGTTTATAAAATAAAAATAAACACAGGAGTTAAAAGAGCATGCTACCTTCTTTTATATTTGTACTTATTTCTCATCTAACTGCCTTCAGACTTCAGACAATGGCATCCTCAAAACTCTGAGGGAGACATCTGGTGAAATACTGGCCCTCTTGGAGCCAGTGACAAAACTCCCACTGACTTCAACAGGGCCAGGATTTCACCCATTATCTTTGCTGATAGCTATTCTTAATTTGAATTTTTCATTCTCTTGGTGAGGCTTAACTACGATGGTGTCGCTGAGAGATATATTAACAGGATTCTAACACACAATTTTATTCCGTCCTCATCCAGTGGCTGTCAGTGAGTACAGTGAATATTTGGGTTGTACTCAAGTTTTTGAGCTCCCTTCTGGTCCACAATACTGTATTCTATATGCATATGTTTCCGTTCATAGGAATTATTTTATTATTTAAATCCTCAAATAATTTATTTAATTTTGCAATATTTTAAAATACATTTTTGGCGATTTTTTAAAACTTTTTGGTCAACTACAGATCTGGAATGATAAATGCCTTGTCAAATATTTATGCTCTGGATTTCACACTACTTTTGAGTCCGTTTTTTGGAGAACATTTTGACAATTATGTCCCAGCTCTCATAGTGCCAGAGGGGTGATTAGTAGTCTAAAGATGCAATGTCTGTCTTTCAGAATAGGATTGTCTGATTTTTGACTAGGCACTTGAAAATTACTTACAACCAGAATGTTTTTAAAAAGCAAAGCACAATTTTAGTTTACATTTTGTGTTAGCTTGTTACTTGTTCTGTATAAGCTGACCATTTTAGATGAAAATTAATTTTAAGTGTTTAATTGAAGATTGTGGGGTGATTATTCTGAAGAAATCTAGCTATTCTGGTCTTCTTTAAAGTCCTAGGAGTCAAAACAATTTGTACCTCTTACTTGTATTTTCCTTGATAGCATTTCCATTTGATTAATTATTCTGTCGCCCTTTGCTTTATCTTGTTTCATGTACTGAAGGGAGGTAACTTTTTTTTAATTTTTTTCATGGACAAGGATAAAATACAACATTTCAAAAACTGCTTAATTAAAGCCTTCTATGACTTACAATACCCTCTATGTTTTATTTGACAATGAGGTTATTCTAACTGAAATTAAAATATTAATGTAGCTTTCAGTCATGTGTACTAAAACATCTTTATAAATATTTGAAAAGAAGCTGTTCAATGGACTCTGCAAGACAGGAGGCTGGCCTATGACAGCCAATTAATTATCACAATCAAAGGAACTCTAGACAAAGTACCCTCACAATTAATTTGAAGGCTAATTAAAATTTGTGTCCCATAAAAGTCACTTGACTCCCAGTTATGATTAAATAGGCAAGGTCATTAGAACACCGTAAGTGGTCGAACTGAAAGCAATCTCCTAGTACAGCAGCAACAGATAAAGCGTGTTGTCATGCTTTGAAGGGCTGGACAGGAAATATGGATTAAAGTTCATCGTTCCCACTGTGAAGTGTGA